TTAGATGTACGTAGCATCAATAAATTTAAATTTATATATTTGATATTCTTTTTTTTTTAAGTTGAATAAAAAATGGACAAAGGCAAACAAATCTGATTATATATACAGTAGATTCAAATTTCAGAAGTAACTTTGCTTTTCAATTGAATATTTATGGTACAATGTGTCTGATTTATTACAGCATCTGGAATTTAAAATTTATGGAAAAAAAATTAGTATCAGTTTATTACTGATATGACTATGACCATGTTCTTGTATTGTTTAGTATTTATTTTATAAAATAAACAACTTCTCCAATCTCCTGTTACTGCTTGTCATTATACATTATTGTGCATTGCTTTTATTATTCCTGCTCTTTAATGTCGGATTTATGTTTGCATTTGGTTACTAAAGGGAAACTGATCTTAGCACACACTACAGCATTATGCTATTGACAAAGATAATAAAAACTGTGTGTGCACTAATCCACGGAAGCTTTGTATCCCCTGGTTCTATTCCATGAAGGTTTTCTTCTGTGAAACACAGGTATACTGCCCACATAATAATAATATTAATAATAATAATAATAAATAATAATAATAATAAAATAATAATAAAAATAATATTAATACTGTAATAATAATAATATAAGGTATGCACCTTTGTATTAGAACAGGGTTAGAAAAACGTGCGTCATAAAAACGCATGTTTAAGAACATTTGAGCTATTGTTTTGTGGGTCCTCAGCAACAATTTTAAGGGGCGTGCTTAGTAGAAAGGTCCATTGTCTGCAGTGCACTGCAATTCAACACCAGAAATGATGCACTGCTGCCAGATCACCATGGCCCAGCCCATTTTTCCACAACTAGGGAATAATGAGTTACTTTACTTGCTTCACTTTCACACAAGGATCATGAAAGACAAAAATAAAGAACACAAACTCATTTTCTGTGGACATCGCCATGTTTAATATTTGTTATACTTTATGATATAATTAAATACTTTAATAAACTTACATATACCTCTACCTAGAGCATGACTTATATTGCATCATTCTTGCATTAAATACATCTTGCAAGAAATCACACCCTGCTACCAATTTCACCAAACAGCAAAAAAAAATGGGGAAAAAATATTTCCAGGGTGTTTGTCATATTTCCACCCATATCACTACAATTCAAACAATTTATTTATGGTACAAAAACGCTCAAGTTAACTGAGCATGGATTGTACCATCTACAGCAGGAGTCTACGGAAGATATATTTATTTCCTATAGGAGCTTAATATCATGCTTTAGTCTAATTGCTGATTTTGTATTCTAACACATGTTGCTGTTCAAAGCTGTTACCACCAACACATCAATATCAACCTACACATTACAGCTGTTCAAACAATTTTTATGTGTTTTAATGACTTAATTCCCATCAGCAACATTTATCAAGAAAAGAAATGGGCATCTAATAATACAACCTGTTTTGGTTTTTTTTACCCCAAAAAATAATAGGTTTCACAAATTATGACTAATTTATTTTTAGTCCAAAATAATTTATTATTTAACAAAACATATGTATTTATGCAATGAGAAATTATTAGTTAATATTGATTATCAAAAAATATATTAAGATTTAAAACAATAAATATATAAATCACTTATACATCTTAAAATAATATAAATTACCAGTATTCATAATTTGTTGTATAAACTTAAGATAAACTCTGCAAAAAATGCTTTAAAAAATCTACTGTATATCAAAAGATATTATTTCTTCCGAGTTTTTATGCTTTTCCTTTATCAAGTTTAGAAATTATAATAATTAGTGAATCATTCTGCATTCAAGTTTTTCCAAAGGTTGTGTGTAATATTTATTGATGAAGAGTGTCAAGGGTTATTATTGCACTGAATTTTCCAGTAACACTATAAAAACACAAGAAATCTAGGAATTTGGGAAATAGGTTTTCTGGAAGGATATGGAATAACACAGGGAAAGACTGAAATGGCATTACTTTTTTATATACCATAATAAGTTTACTTTTATAACAGGTTTATTTAAATATAATAGGTTTATTTGTATATAGTTGGTGTATTTGTATATATATATATATTAGGTTTATTTCTATTGGAGCTGCTCATTATCAACTTGCCACAATGACTACAGATACATTTACATCAATTTAGTGATCCCATCCTTTGGGACACCCTTATTAAGGGGACACACTTATTATGGAGACATAGGTGTCCCCTTAATAGAGGCTTTACTGTATCTCTATATTCAAAGCTGCTTATCTTTCTACACTTTTAATCAATCCTCAAACAGTTTCCAGTGAAACTTGTGTTATCTCCAGTAGGCTTAGATATATTGTCTATGATAACATTAAAGGCCCATAATAAATTCTGATAAAATATTTAAAAGGATCAAATAATCCAGTTTTCATTGACTTAACACAATTTTTACTATGAAAATACTTGTCTGCCCTATGCAGAGAATAAAATAAGAACGGTATTATTTTATATCTGTTAATTGTTGACAAATATAATAGCTATAAAATAGCATACTTAAATTTACAAAGTAATAACATCAAATATTCAATTTTAACCTTCCAGTTTATTAGCTTTTAACTGACTGTATTTTAACAATTTTTTACTTTATAAGGGGTTTCAAAGCCTAAAATGCAAAACTTTAGCAGGTTCCAATTATTGCTTTTTTCTTTTTAAAATGATATAATGAACAAGTTAAGACATACCAATTTTTTTTCTCTCCCCCTTTCTTAAACAAAACGCCAACAAATTTAGCCTTCAACACCAGGGTTTTATTTTGAACAAAGTTGGAAGTATCATCACTATGGACAAATTAGTTGCAATTCATACAACATAGGGCTTTGAAATTAAATTAAATTGATTTACTCAATACTTAGGATAAAAACAAGTTGTCAATCAATCGATCATATAGTCAATCAAATGTGCTCAACCACGACATATCACTTTTACCATCATAGATCTAGCTGGTATTAAAAAAAAATATTTTTAGCAGTTTATAATTTTTAAAAACTATCTCTCTTTCTATTATTAGCATCTTTATATAATTTTATTAACCCAAGACAAACACTTGAATCTTTCAGGACTGGGTACCTGATATCAGTTAGCCTACTATTTGTAATATTTCTTTTATATATTACAATACATGATATATACATTTTATAATGTACCATTTTACTTTATAGTGTATTTAGAAAAGGGTAATATTTATGTGTAATTTACACACATTTCACTTGCATGCCATGCACACATTAATGTATTGTAATTTACACATATTCAACTGTACTATTTTCATAACATTTTACATGCCAATAATGTAATTTCCACATAATAACTTTATGTGTACAATACACATATTTGGCTTGTGTAACTTACAATTCTGTTACTATATATGTTCACTTTAGGCCAACGTGTGCACAGTACAGGGGCGGATCCAGAGATGTCCAAAAGGGGGGGCCGAAATTTGGGCCGATCGAGACAACAACGTCCTAGGGGGTCCGGGGGCATGCCCCCGCGAAATTTTTGTGTTCTAGACGCCCGAAAATAACATTTGAGGCGTTCTGGGCTATCATATTTTTCTTTTTCTTTCTTTTTTTCTTTCTTTTTCCTTTTTTTACCTCCCAAAAGGGGGGCCGGGCCAGCCCCCCCTAAATCCGCCCCTGATTAGCTTTCCTGACTCTGTCTCTTATCAAATTAGTTGCAATTCATACAACATAGGGCTTTGAAATTAAATTAAATTGATTTACTCAATACTTAGTATAAAAACAAGTTGTCAATCAATCGATCATATAGTCAATCAAATGTGCTCAACCACGACATATCACTTTTACCATCATAGATCTAGCTGGTATTAAAAAAAAATATTTTTAGCAGTTTATAATTTTTAAAAACTATCTCTCTTTCTATTATTAGCATCTTTATATAATTTTATTAACCCAAGACAAACACTTGAATCTTTCAGGACTGGGTACCTGATATCAGTTAGCCTACTATTTGTAATATTTCTTTTATATATTACAATACATGATATATACAATTTATAATGTACCATTTTACTTTATAGTGTATTTAGAATAGGGTAATAGTTATGTGTAATTTACACACATTTCATTTGCATGCCATGCACACATTAATGTATTGTAACTTACACATATTCAACTGTACTATTTTCATAACATTTTACATGCCAATAATGGTATATGTGTCATTACACACATACATGACTTTTATGTGTAATTTCCACATAATAACTTTATGTGTACAATACACATGTTTGGCTTGTGTAGCTTACGTTATTCCGTTACTATATATGTTCACTTTAGGCCAACGTGTGCATTACACACAGTTAACTTTTGTAAATTACATCTCTTTGTCTTCTATGTGTAATTTACACAAAAGATCCTGTACCAATTCTAAGTCAATAGGCTTAAAATATAAATTCATAAAGTTAAAAATTACCAATATTGCAAAAATAGTTTTCTTATTCTTTTCTACAAATAATATACTGCATTATCAATAAATTAAGATGAAAACAAAAAAAAATAGTTAAAATGTCAACATGAAGTGTTGGAGACTATCAGCTATCATTTAAATACAGGCATTCCGTATATTTAAAAAATTAAATTAAATATAGAATTCTTATTTTCTACAATTATGCTGATAAGTGTGGTATGTTACTGTAATGCACAAGTCTGCAGCACATCACACAACTTAGCAGGAAGCCATCATCATCATCAGCAGCAGTAACAGCAGCATATTCTTTGTCATCATTATACAACAGGAGCAGCAACATCGTAATACTATTTTTCTTTGTCTTCATCTTTTTCACCATTTACAACATCTTCATCATTATCAACATCTTCACCATCAACACCTCCACTATTATAAACCTCTTTCAGCATCTTCATCATCATACATCATCGCCATTCTTTCAATATCAACAAAATACCCTCATCACCACTATTATCATCACATCTATACTATAATCAACATCATCCTTATTCTCAGTGTAGCAGTTGTGATTATGGCTTTTAACTGTAAGGTCATGGGTTCGAATCTCGCACTGGCCATTGACTGGAGTCCTTTAGCAAGACACTTTGTCTTTGGACTACATTAAATGGATACATGGTAGTAGGGAAATGCCCTATATATTTGGTATATGCTAATTAGTCATGTTTGAATGATTAGAAAAATCTCCCCAGAGAGCTCTAAATGTGTTTCACATTGTGCATAATTTAGTTATTGATTCCAATAACAAGAATAAAGTGAAGTGTTCTATCTAATATTTTTGTGGAAAGTGCTTGATAAATGCCAAAAAAATGTCAAAAAATTATTACACTAATAGTATGTTACCAATTCAAAATTCCCATTTACTTTTGTTTCAAATATTAAACACCGCCAATGGCATTGTGACCCACTATCTCTAAATACAGCAGTTCCGAGGGTTACGTAATCAAAAAAAATAATATTATGTATTCCCTAATTTAAACATTCAGAACATTGTTAATTGTAGATCATTTTAAGTGGGGTATTTTTGTGTATATTTTGTCATTAAGTAGTATTACTGTTTTGTATGGCGAGGCTCTATTTCTTCGGCGAGAATCTGGGATTGGAGGGCATCTCGGTGAAGGACCGGAGTTCATATGTTGCAATTCCCGACTCAAGATCTGGTCGGTGGCGGGCAAATATCATCCGAATGTCAGTGTGGAGGTAGATCCTACTGGATTTTGAGCTCTGGAACCTGATAGTAAAATAGAATAACACAACCAATAGGAAACTTTAATTTCTATAAATAGAATACAACTTGATTAGATACATGGTTACATACACAGACAGTAAGGCGAGACTTTTTTATACCTTTTTTTCGCGAGCTTATTTTTTTCTAAATCGTCAGAGGGTGAAAAAAAAATAAAAATAAAATTTGGGTTTTTCATTTAACAAAAAGTTTTGCCAAAACATCCAGATGGAGGAGAAAATAAAAATAAAATTTTATTGGCAAATGTAAACAGTGTAGTAATTGGGTTGGTTAAATGCTTTAAATTTGTATAATTAGGAAGAAATATGCATATCATATTTTTGGAGATTTCAAGGTAGCGACGGGACAAAAATAAAGAAAAACCTTTATTTTTTCGAAATTTTCATTGCTATGCACTAATTGGCAAAAAATAAAATTTTATTTGTATTCGAAATCATCAATAGTGGCAGTCGGTGGGTTCGCTAACAAGGTAAAAAAAAAGTCTTGCATATTGCAGTGGCATATCTAGGGGATGTGGAGGTCCACCCCAGGTAAAGACATTTATGCCCTCCTGCAAATATGCTTTCCTACTAAAAACTGAAAAAAAATGTGCTCAAGTAGTTAAAAATAACTTTACATCATTTTAATCCAGTGGCATGCTCCCCCATTTACTCATCGTTCCCCCTCCCTACTGATAACAAGTTTATATGCTGTTTATACCTCATGATCACACACAATCAAATGAAAATATGAATGGTTAGAAATTTTATCTATTTGGAAAGACTTAATAATATGCTTAAATCACCAATATTACTACTAATAAAATCAAGCTCTGAATTTTCAGCTAGTTTACAGTAGGTAGACATCCTGGCATTTATAAACCTATGAGTCTTATATTATCATATCATTTGGTATAGGCTTAGTAAGAGATTAAGATGTCAACAGAGTTGATTATCCTTACCTTAAATGCAGTAAATATCGGAGTTCCTTCTCACAATCGTCATTGATGTTGGCATTGCTAGGCATGTAGAAGACTCGTTGTCGGCAGAATGTTTGGCAATTTGGCGGCATGTCAGACAGATTATAGCGAACCACAAATATTTTGACTACTGTGCCATTTGGGTTAAATAATGTCTGAAAACAATAAATGTCACAGTGTCAACATCAACAAAGAATAAACCTGAATCAAATAACTTGGTTGTACAAATAAAGAAATGTTAATTAACTTCTAAACACATTCTCACATACCATAACACATCAAATTATTTAGAATTGCAGTATAGATTTACTGGTTACAATCCCAGAAAACAGAGATTTTGCGGGCAATTAACTTGCAAGCTACAAACATCACTTGACAAGCTGATATAAAGAGCAATTTACTACCACACTACAAATGCCACTCTGCAAACTGAGATTAAAAGAGCACTTATACTACCAAGGTACAAGTGCCAATCTGAATTGTCAGGACTAGGGCAGCGCCTTCACAACTAAGCTGTAAGTGCCACTTTGCAAGCTGGAGAGCATGTTGTAAATATTCTCTTAATATTCTCACGACAATACAAGATTGTTTTCACACTGTCTTATGACAACCCACAGCATCGGCAACACACACAGACACGACATAACAGGCTGCATCATTCAACACTTTCTTAGTTGACCTTTAACAAGATATAAGAGCCATTTTGCAAGTTGAAATTAGTGCTTGGATTAGAAGATGGACTTACATTATTGAATAAACCTTATATAAAATCAAGATAGTTAAGTATTTGGGAAATAAAACCAGGAAAATGAACAATGTACTCACAACTTGAATTGTTCCCTGCGCTGGGACATGATAACCTCGTTTCCCAATAGATTCCAAGTTTACATACCCCTGAGAAGTGCAAACATATGTAAAACCTAACTTAATATATATGTAAATATTTTGTCTACATAAAAACACACATCATAATAGATATAAGGAGTAATTCAGATAAGCTGCATTTCATATATTAGAAAAATAAACACATATATATTTGTGTCATTTTCATTGTTTTTGTTGCTTTTACAGTAAGTGGGCAAGTTTTAAAAAAACATTCAAAAAATCATAAATAATCTAAATTTATGGTAATACCTGCAATCATTTTAAATAACCAATTTGCATACTGAAAAGCTATTAATAATTAATGAAAATAAAATATCTAATTCGGTAAGATTATAAGTAAATATATATCGCTGTATAGCTTACCATGTAAGACGATGGTTGGTCATCATCAGTTACACTGTAGAAGAATGCTGTGACAGGAAGCTTAACATGCGAGGGGCAGAAGCGTCCGCTAGCTCCAATCTCAGCAGAAAACCCTTCAATTGTTCCTAGGGGCTCCATGCGCCCATTTAACACAGATTCCTAAAGTAATAAATATATTTGCATGATGAATCAGTAAGAAGAGATCAGCTAAAACGTACCAAACTTACCCTTGCCCAAAATAAAATTCAATCAGTTTTTATTAAATCAGTATATTAAGACCAGCTCATAAAGATCATTAATAAATTAAATTTTGCCTATTACAGTAAAACGCCCATTTTACGTACCCCTTGGTACCAAGAGGTGTTCATAAATTGAAAAATTTGTAAACTAGATCGGGTGTCAGTTTCCAATACCTAGGCCTAGCTATCCCCTGGCATTAAGCACCGATTGCAATGGGTAACCGGGCAAGGGTGGCCCGTGGCAAAAAAATGTTAGGGGGCCCTTTGGAGCAACTGATGTACTGAGGCATGCAGCGCCGAAGGGTTAATTTGAATTTTCAATTAAAAATTTATTTCAATATACAAATATGATATGCAGTTTGAATAGATTAGATAGATTTTTTTAAACATTTTACAGTTTTAATTTCTAAAAAGTAAAATAATTTGTAAATTGATTGAAAAAAAGCTGTTCAATGAACAAGGTTAGTCCAAGACAATTACCTCAAAACTTCCTAGTAGGCAACTTGTAGAAGCTGGAGCACTAGTACTGAGTACACGTGTTGACTGGTTCATTGGGGTCAAAGTGTGACCTAGGTCATTACATGAAGTAGAACTAAAAGATACAAATGAGCAAGAAATAAAAGCATATTTATGAAGCGATTGTAACCGGTGCCAGAACTTAGCATCAATTTTGGAGGTAAGCAACCATCAACCTTCAAGCATCAAGCCACTACTTCTTTATCTATTTGTTTTTTCAATTTTATGTATTTAAAATTAACTTCTGTCAAAGTACCAGATATAAACCTTCTGGACACTACATCTCTGCGTCTCCCAGAGTAAATGACAGATGTGTTTACACATGTTTATCAATTAATGGTCCTTTCCGGAGAGACCAGCCTGAACAGGGCCAGGAAAATGCACATGTCCACAAAAAACACAAGTTACATATGTTTACACTGTCATATTGTGGACTTCAGGAACAATATCCAAGGGATAGGGATAAAGACTGCTCTTTTCTAAAGATACTATATAGAGATGCTTGACAGTTCAACCTCTTTTATAAGGTTAAAAATATGATGTTATATATAAAATAGGGCAATTAGTATGGTACCTTTTAAGCATAGTTGTAGGTCTACTGTTCAGAGATGAATCATCTGTACTCTCTTTTGTCTTCCTCATAGGAGCCTAGAAAAATAAAAATAAAACATTTGTAATATATACATTACAGTAACAAGAGAAATACTTAATAACTAAATATATTAAATTTAAAAATTAATCAAATAGGAGAATTAATTTAAATTATAGTGATGACATCATCAAAAAAATTATTTAAAAATTTCTTGCTGTAACATATATTATAAAATCACAGCCAATCACTGACAAGATCAGGATGATTACATTTTTAAAAGGCATTGACAGATAATCAAAACTATGAGAATAAATAGGTTTTTCATCCCTGCACAACTTACTGGGCTTGAATTCAAAGGTAACCCTGTTCGTGGATTAAATATATAACTACCAGAACTGTCTATGGAACGACTGTGGTGACGTTTTGGTTCAGGACTGGACCAAGTTTTACTCCTCTCAAATGAATTCTGCAAAAATATAAAGCCATTACAATGTAGCTATATCATTACTATAACACTGTAGACCTCACATAATCACAAATTGTGTATTTACAGGTAAACCAATCACAAATTGTGTATTTACAGGTAAACCCACTTAACCTTTGCACCCCACCCCCTCTCTCCACCCTCATCCACTTGTCAATACTCCTAAATAAGCCACTCAATAGACAGTTTTCAAAATCACAACATAACCAATACATTGCACAATTTAAGAGTTGTCTCCACTTACACACTTAGTGTGCATGCATCATTATGACTATTAACATTATTACAGTACTTAGCATTATGTTGCGTTAAATATGTGAAACCAACAGATTATGAGCCTACGAAAATATGAAATATTATTTTATAATTAGTTTAAGTACATAGCAATTTTTAAAAATTAAAAACACAAATGTTTAGTTGATCACCTACCTCATTTGCTGGTTTCGGTGTCGGCTCTTTTTGAATAACACTTTTAAACAAAGATTTACTTTTTGTAAAGACTGGTATAAAGCCTCTTGGAGTATTTCGTTCCTGCCTCGACTTCTCTGGTGCAGGCTGGAAGGATGTCTGCGGATCTGAATGGAAGGCTTGTCCAGATGCCTGATTACCTCTTTTCATACTCAGCTTAAGTGAATCCGACATGGATTGTTTTGATTCAGCATTTTGATCCAAATTTATTGCACTAATGGTAGGACTACTTCTGGAGATGGAGGGTGACATTTCTTCATCAGAAGCAAAGTCAAGTTTGGTTTTGATATCAGAAACTAATTTTTGCACACTGTTGATGAAAGTAGTGCTTTTGAAGTCACCTGGTGAACCAGACTGTGGTGGAGATTGGCTCTCTCCTGGAGGACTACTCTGAGATGGAAAACTCTCTGTTGCAGAGGAAGAAGACTGCTTATGTGTCAGAGAAGTGTGGCTCACAGGTGAAATAATATTGTGACTCACGTTTGTAACCTTTTGTACAACAGGCAAGTCACATTGTACTACAGGGATGTTATCTAAGCTTGATGATACAGTTTCAGGCTCATTAATACATGATGGTAAAAGTTCTGTAAGTGGTGGGGACTCATTCTGGAGTTCATCATCAGAATTGGCTACAAAATAGATCCCTTTATCTTCTAACACATTTCTGTTTTTATTAGCAATTACACAGTTTTCTGACGTGTCTATCCCTGTTTGAGTTCTGAGTTCCTTTGAAGATAATTCAGTTTCAACACCTTGAGATAATACAGGTGGACAGGTATCATCTTTATAGGCAGGTTTACTTTTATTGTCAGGTATATTCCTATAAGGCATTATATTAACAGATCGTGTTCTCTGGTCCTCACAATTTACTGACTTATCAAACCTCTCATTACACTCTTGTGTTCTATGGCCAACGGTTCTTTTTGGTGTGTTTAATGGTACATTGCATTTTCTCTTGTGTTTTTTGGCATTCTGATAAGATTCTGGGTCAAGTTTGTGCACATTCTTCTCCTGTTGCCTTGAACTATGTCCCACATTATATTCACTATGGGCGTTGAAACGAGTCCGTTTCTCAAAACATTTGCGACCACTTCCTCGCTTGCATCTGAACTGCCTTCCCTGTTCTGATTGGAAACGTGTTTCTGAATTATCAAAAGGTTTCTCCTGAGAGTGCTGACATGAGAATTTCATTTTCTTGTGTCCAACACCACAGGGGATGATGGGAATTTGCTGCTGTCGTGGAAGGTAGGCCACGCTGACCCGAATACAGGAGGACTTGGTGATGTTGACAGCAGGAAAAGAATGAACCTCGGGAATCTTGACAAAGTTGGCAGGGAAGGCTTCTCCAGGTGCACTTACTCTGTAAAATAATAAACAGAAAAAATTAGTTAAATTGATATTTTCAGACTGTGTTGGTTATCTGAAAACCAACACACTATTTCAACAATAGTTGATTCACTAAAAAGTCCACATATCAAATTTAAAGCATGTAGACCTTAAGTCCTTACAAATATAAAATACAAGAAATTACTTAAATCACAGTTTGTTGAATTTAGTCATGAGAAAAATCATAACTGCAGAATTATGAAGCAAAAAAATGTTGATTATGAATCTTTTTAAAACTCTATTTTGAGCTATAATAGATTAGAAATATTGAATTCAATATATGAATTCCTTATTTTGTATTTAAAACAGTTGTCAGTTTACAATTGAAAATTAAACAAGAAGTTTCTCACCAATTAACACAGAGATGCGTAAAAATGCAGTTCTTAAATTCCTTTTATTTATTACCTGGAAATTTATTAAAACTTGTTACAGTAACAATTAGAGAAATATTTCTGTATATTATTGTTGATCTACCTATCTATACTACATGTGCCTCTTTGAATAAGCTGTGGCAGCAGCCCTCTGTTAATTTAGGTTATTTACTAATAATTAATCCCTGTAAAAGTTTTAACTGAATTTATTATGATTTTTACCAGTACCACATACAATTTATATAATTTAGGAGGCTTATACTAGGTCACCATGAGCCTATATAATACTATACAGTACTTACCTATAAGTAATGTTCTTTGGTTCTTTGCCACTGTTCATACTTAGCCAAGAGCTGAGCTGAGAGAAGTGCAGGTAGGACCTGATCGCCTGTAGTAGCATTCTGCTTGACTGATGGTAATGTAAAGACCTAAAAGATGGGGGTAGAGAGAAATAACAAATTGGTGAAAATGATTATTAGTTAAAATAATAAAGCACTTTCATTGGCCTTCACTTTATCAGCAGAATTGTTTATCTCAATGTCTGTGATTGTGCGTTATGATTTATTGCAAAGACCTAGCCAATGGGAGATAACATAACGGTTTATCTCAGCCTTCTCCAGCTGTGTATTATGATAAGACTAATTAATGCTTCCAAATAATAACATGTCATGTCAATTTGCTTCTTATTTTTCCTAAGTACATGCTCAATATATAAATTTTATTTATAATATTTAAAATATTATAGTAGTTTTAATATATGAAATTTATTTATTACATATTATTATTATGATATAAAAACTATAATATATGATTCATTTTTAGTGGAAATATTAGTTCATAGAAATCATTTTACTCAACTAAATCCACTTACAATTCATTCCAGTCTACTGTATGTTGAGGAGAAAATAATAATGTACCTAATTAGTGTTTTTCAGGCTATAATTATAATATGCATGATGCTTAGATGACTACAATGTTGATATAGAAATAAATGTAATAATAGTTCATACCACAAGATATTGTTTCCTGAATTTTAAAATAATTTGTGACAATTTTTTTTTGTTCATCAACAGAGGACACCACAAAAGCCTAATCAGGTGTGCCAGTCATTATCGCAGTGGTTTTGTGACATTATAAGCCGGAAATATGGGAAAATAATGATGTATCTAATTAGTGTTTTTCAGGCTATACAGAATGTGTGATGCTTAGATGAATACAATATTGATATAGAAATAGACATGTAATAGTTGATACCACAAGATATTGTGTCCTCAATTTTAAAATAATTTGTGACAAATTATTTTTATTCATTAACAGAGGACACCACAAAGGCCTGAATAAGGTGTGCCAGTCATTAGCACCAGTGGTTTTGTGACATTATAAGCCAGAAATAATGGGAAAATAATGATGTACCTAATAATGTGTTTTTCAGGCTATATAATATGTGATGCTTAGAGTTCTGCAATGTTGATTGAAAAAGACATTAAAATACCAGATATTGTTTCTTGAGAATAGTCATAATTAATGACAAATTTTGTTTTGTCATTTGAAAGAGGACACTACATAGGCTTAAGGCGTGCGAGTCATAAGCGCCAGTGGTTTAGTGACATTATAAGCCGGTCTAAAATTAAATTTTTGTTCATACTTGAACATCTTGATTCTATGGAGTACGCAATCACATGACACGCACACAACGGATCACTTTTAATGATGATCTGTTAAGACTGCCATCAACAGTCAGGTCAAAGGCTGTAGAGTTGGATTTGTCGGGCCGACAGTTGTACAACCGTCGTAAGAGGACGCAGTGGTTGCCCGGCATCAGGGAACACGTTTTGCAAGATTTGAACATTATACTGTAGTATACTACACCAACCTCGTAATAAAGTATTTTGTATAGTAAAATATTATAAAAATAATTTTTTTAAATCTCAAAATTGTATTTATCATCATCATTTACAGTGTTCTGATAAACCATAGTACCACTCACCTCCTTGGGAGAACTTGAATGATCCACTGTTCTAGTAGAAGGCATGGTTGTTCAGAGCTGAATGATGCATCCGCACCAATAGCAACCTCCTCCAGAGAGCTCTGGCAGCAGTCAGGGTACTGCAGCACCTCGATGGACATCGGGATGTTGTTGTTAAACATATAGTTTATATGTGACCTCACCATGTTCATAGTATGGCACTAAAAAGAGAATTAATGTGAGTGTAACTCTTATAATTGATTGATTGATTGATTGATTGCATTTTTTTTCAATCTGAGATACATTAAGGATAACCTACAAAATATTTAAAAAAAAAGTGACACTTTGATAATTGAAAAAATTATAGTATAATGGTAATAAAACAAATCCCTAAATATGGTACTAAAATAATGAGTGAATGCTACACTACTTCAATTTCCTTTCTTGTTTTACATTTCTATACATGCACTAAAGTCCGCTAATCATCTAATTGATGATCTAATTCAGACAACTCACATCAGACAATTCTTAGTAAATTCTAGACAAATGTTCTGTACCTCTTTCACAATATGCTAGAATCTAGCTAGAGAGTATAATAATTATGTAGGCCTTCCTTTATAGTACATTATAATGTATACCATGTGACTTGCATACAAGAATATATAATGATTTTCTGTTGAGATTATGCACATTCAATCTAAAGTATGATACTATCATGTCCACTATGCATGTACTAAACTCTACTTGCTTGTACAGTAGGCCTACTATTTAAACACAAAAGAGACAATAATGTGTCTATGACTTGCAGGTGCTCAGACTATGGACATTTAGGCACAAAGCATACATTCAGTTTCAACCTGAAACTAGATAAACCTTATTACGCTTAAAGCATGTTTTATGATTCTTAGAATATAACACTATACATACATAAACTTATATATTATAAGTGTAATTCAAGACTTTTAGTAAGGGATTTAATTACAGAAATAAAAACATATGATTTCATTTTAACCACATGGGGTAACAATTTAAATTTCCAAAACATTAATAATTTGTTTATTTGTTCCAGATATATGCAAGACTGTATGTAAACCAGTTCGTATATTATCTTAGGCTCATGCATTATATTAATTAATCTTTTTACAACAAAGATAATATGACAGTCCTTTATCACTAGTTAAGTTTGTTCCAAACTGAAGTGTGTTTGGTGGAATGACAAAACAATATGATAAACATTGTATGTTTAATGATTTAAATTTCAATATGTGTAGCATCATGATGGCAATAACAGTTTGCCAACAATATGATAAACAATGTGATATATCCCACAGATTAAAAAAACAGAATAACACAGGCTTAAGGCCTATATAAATTTTAATAACAAAAATGATGAATACTGTAGTTCCAATCAATGCCAGAGCTAAGATTTTCAAACAGCGCAGGACAATATCAGAGTGGACCCATTTTACGCATAAATTCAAATAATGAGCACCCATTTTCTTAAAAGTTGACACATTTTACGCAAAAAAAAAATATGAAAAATCTTGACCCATTTTCTTGAAATTTTACCCATTTTAGGCTAAATATGAGAAACCTGGACCCATTTTTTAAAAAGTGGAATCATTTTATACAGGAAGTTGCATAATTTGGGCCCATTTTTAAAATGTGGACCCATCCCTACTGATAGCTGGTTTCACTAAATGATTGCAAAAAGAAAACAATGCAGCTTTCTCAAATGGTAGAAAAAAGGGTAATTTATCTAAAATCTTATAATTTTGGAAATTTTAACTTCCTTGGTCTGATCCAAATAGGAAGTAAAACAGATATGACCTTGATAACATGTCACCAAAACAGCCCATTAATTTAAGAGTTGACTATTCAGACAAAAAAAAACTAAAATCTGAATTGCCACACAAAGACTTATAGCCTTTATCATCATTTAATGAGTACTGTATGTAATTTTATTGACAAAAGATACTATACATTATATCCTGACAATAATACCTACACCTCATGGAATAAGTATTTAATTTATTTATTGACAATCATTCACTAATCAAATCATATTACAGTATTACAAATGATAGCCTTTGTATAACATAACATCATGTTTATATATATCATTATCCAATGGAGGTATGCATAGATTTTAAGAATATTATTTACCAACTGTAGGTCCTCATGTGTTGTTAATCTTCAACAAACAAATCATCACACAAATTCATTCATTCCTTCTTAGTGCTGTTAAATTATTCAGTTTCAAGAAACAGATGTACATACTCTACAGATCAATGGCTTTTAGTTATTGCTTTTGTGTCTCATGTGTTTATTATAAGTTACTATCTATTTTGCATTTTGATCTATAGTACTCTTATGACGTTAAAAGGTGTTAATTTATTGACAATTATAATTTGTACTTAAATTTTTGATGCGCTATTTATTTTAATATATATTATTTCATTTTACCTAAATGTAAGCGAGTTGCCACTTACACATGGAGTATTGTAAGTAATGCTCTATAAAAAAAAAACTGTGTCTCATAAAATGTACACTTTTTGATTTTATAAGAACACATTTTATACCCGAGGCTGAAATTGCTAAAAAAAAAAAAAAAAAAAAAAAAAAAGAACAAATTGGGGCTGAGGTAAAACGTCAAATGTTGTTTTTATCTAAAAAAAAATAGAAAAACCAACAAATATTAATCTGTACATTATTAGCAGTGAGCTGTGTCTATGTAATAATACCTTCTACACTGCATACAATAATAATTTTTTTTATCTTTGAAAAGTATATCAAATAAGAAAAAAAAATTTGAGCCTGAAATTGGCAAAAATAAGAACACCGAGAGAAAATGTTACTTGTTCTTATTAAATAAAAAAGTGTAGAGTCTTTTTTTTTTTGTGAGAAACACCCTAGAGAGTTGCAGGGTTTGAACCTAGGACCCTGGAATAGCTCCACTTCAGCAATACAAATAACATAAGCACCTTTCAGATAGACGTTGCCACATCATTCCGTAAGCATGCCGGCATAATAACCAATCTATACCCTTTCACACAGCGCCTTTGTTACCGCAATATTGCGGTAATATTACGCTTTTCTGTCTGAAAGGGTCCTATAGAATGGCGTAATATTGGTGGTTTAAATACCAATTGCAATTGTTTTCAACCTTAAACTTGTTTGCCCCTACTGTATATTGAGTAGACTCTTTCAGACAGAGCAAGCCAGTTACTGTTACCACAATATTGCAGCAATATTACTAGGGTGAAGGTGGCCTAAAGTAAGCCAGCATGTTGGTGTATCGACCCTTTCAGACAGAAACCCATGCTGGCGTGCTTACCGCAATATTGCAGTATTGCAGCTCTGTCTGAAAGGGGCTATAATACACAATGTTTGCACTGTACAAGTCAAGTTTGAATTGCTGTAATTGTTGTATATATTTAAACAAGTTATTAGAACAAGATAACATTTTCCTCACCAATTAATCTATTTGCATACATTAATAAATTAAATTTGTTAGTAATCCATTTAAATATTTTTGTAGTAAAAATTTTTAATTTTTGTAAACCAAGAGTTCAATGTTACAATTTGATTTTTTTTTAGGGGTCTTCCTCATATATAACACAGACCATTTAATTGCAAATCAAACTGGATTTTGAAATTGAAACTGATTAAATTAGCCTTCATCTCTCGTACCATCACATTATAATATTTAAATTTGTCTGTGAAATTATAGAGACAATTAAATAAGGAAATGAGGAAAATACAGAGGTAAGGACAGATAACAGACAGGAAAAGAGTGTGAACTGACGATATAGTGCAAGTTGTTCAGTTACATTAGATTTTCTCTAGAGTGTTTTGCAAAGGCGTTTTAAAAAATGTATTTATTTATATTAAATTACTCTACACATTACAACAGGAGACAACATTAAACTAAGAAAATTACCTGTATTAACACATTTTATAAAATACAAACACAGTGAATATCAGGTCATTGTTGTACTATATTTTTTAATGATTAAAAAAATTATTATAATTCTTACCTATTCACGTCATTGAAATGTGAAAGTTAATATATTGGCCCTTTTGAAATGTAATGGCTAGATGCATCTTATTGCATTTTAGCAACAATCCAGATTTATTCATTACAGACAAATTGTATGACTTTACTGTACATACTACAAAATGCTGTTTCAAATTATACTGTAGTACTCAGTAATAGCCCTACCAATTGTAATATTCTATATTAGTCTATGTGCATCAATTCCTTGTACTGTATATGAAATAAATAATAGCCCTACCCATTATATTCCATACTAGTCTACTATGCATTAATTCCATACACAACTGTATGATATAAAAGGGAAGACTAGATTCGTCACACAGTGTAATAACAGTTAACAATGTTAACCGTTTACATTTACTTTTTTCACAGCCATTTCTTTCACAAAAACCATATGGCTGTCTTTGGCAGATTTGCATCTTTGAGAAACCATTTTCATTAATATGAATAATGAAATTTGAAAGTAATGTTCCATGTTTATTTATATATTTTTTTATTTTTTTATTTATTATTCTTTTTTAGATAATTTTTAGTTATTTACATGTAATCTCAGATTGGACTCTTTATCAAGTACTATACTTCCTTCCCGAGTTAGAAGTGCCCTGAAGATATTATGGCAGGATCAACATTAACAATAAACTAAAGGAGTAAAATCTACAACATGCACTGACTGTGCACTTAACATAAAAAAAATAAAACAAAACCATAAAAAACAAAATCAAATAACTTTACATTTATGCATAATATTGAGCTAACAATGATAAAATTCTGTATAACCAATTTAATATCAACGATGCAGAGAGAGCCCTCTAGCCAACTACAGCTTAAGCTCTGTCCACACTATCAGTATCAAATTTTATTTGATAAAAAACTGTTGTGTGCCTATAGTTATGAAGTGCCTATATATGGTCATGAAGTGCCTATATATGGTCATGATATGCCTATATATGGTCATGATGTGCCTATATATGGTCATGATGTGCCTATATATGGCATGATATGCCTATATATGGTCATGATGTGATGTCATCATGACCATATTTAGTCATGTCACATGTTTTTGTCAAATAAAATTTGATATGCTGGACAGGACTTTACTGTAAACCTAAACCTACCTTTGTGTTTCCTGGGATGCACTGATGTAACGGCATGCCAATCAAGGGAGGGCAATGTTCGCCTTCCCTGCGACCCTTGATAGAATCCTCAGGTTTTCGACCCTCAACTATGAGCATTCCAAGGTCGGCAAATAATTCATTTGGATCTGGCTCTCCTTCCTCCATTTTTATCTGATTACAAACAAAATATGACAAAAAATAATCAATAACTAAAAGTAAAATCCTTAATATTTCATCAAACAACATTCGACATTATGTTTATCTTACAAACTTGTAGCTTGAGCATTAATCACAATGGCAATCAAAAACACTTATTCAACTTTACTAATGATACCAAAGATTTTTATATTTAAGGTTTATCACTATAAATCAACTTTTAACTAATTTATTATACCTAAGAATTAACACTGGAATAAAAACTAAATTATTTTGTACTTTGACATAAAATATGACAATAAATAATTATGTTTGGTTTTAAACAGCAACATTTACTAGGTATATAGTATTGGGTAAATGTAGGAAAACACAACACAACGCAAGGAAATATGCACAGCAGGGTAATTCTAACTTGGCCCCCTTACCTTTTAAGGTTTGGAGAACAACAGTCATTGCGAAATTGCTTTCATTTACTATTATACAAGATTAAGTACGTAGCATATAAACTTGTGTAATTGTATGACAGTAAATGGAACATTAATCAACATAAATAATAATACTCAATATTTAATGAGTCAGTCTTACAAGTAGGTTAGGATTTTGTTTGTTAATATTTGAAGATACAGACCTAATTCAAGTTGTATTTTACTTCACAAATAGATAGAATTTCAGTTACAACTACTGTACTAAAGTTAAGTGTGGACTTTTCTGAACAGATCATTTTGTAAGAAAATTACAAAAAACTAATATACCAAACAAACTATGTTAATGTCGGCCTGCTTATTTAAATTAATGCATTACAAATATTATGATCAGACATCAAAGTGTGGTTGACCTTTGGTAGTTGGTAAATAGGTCAGTAATACTTGGGATTGGGGCTTGAAAGATTGAGTTAATCTTGTATGAAAAATTATTTTGTAGCATGTGACCTAAGTTTATGATTTATATCTCATCTTATTCCTTATGTAGGATCCTATAAGATCAGTGATTTATTAATCAAATAAATAAGGGTATAGTATGGCATTTACGATGTTTTCTTTCAGATTCCATTGTCATCCATAATAGGGTTCAGCTGGGCCTGGAGAAAAAATATCAGGAGATATCCTCATATCACAAACAACTCATAATTAACAATTATTTCATTTTTGATATGGAAAAAAATTGTTGACTTGAAAGAAAATTTAGTGTGATTAGGTGGCTAGTTATACTTTTGCACATGACTAAACCAACATGATTCATCAACAAAAGGATCTACCGGTACCTATGCAATTACAATAGGTATTGCATCATTACCTGCTAAACAATGACAGCAAAGGTGGTTATCATCCAAGTACAAAATACAGTCTACTCCTACTATCTACATGCTATCATTTCAATTGTTATTTCACTATGTGCTTGCTTAGAGGAACTCCGGAGCTATTTAATTTTCCATTTATTCACATTTATTCATTTAACATGTAATAAAATACTTGATGTAATTTAGCATTTGTTTGTAGCTAAAAACCAAGGCCTATCTCTTTTTACTGTAAGCATCAAAAACATTCTGTACTGCAATGTTTCAGGACAAAGCCTCAGTAAAATGTACTCAAAATCGGCATTCCTTTATTAGGTTTGGTGGTGGTGGGGTAGGGAGGGGAGGGGGAGCCTGCCCACAACGAATGGCCTATAGACCTTGCCATATCTGATATCGATGTGGCCAAACTAACGTATAGCTTTGGAAGCACTATTATTGCAACAAGTCAGTTACTAATTTGGTTAAACCTAGTCGCCATGACACATTTTAAATCGTGGCACAGAACGATAAATACATAACAGTACAATATTTCAAACACTTTGGTAGTAACATCAATCACATCATCATTTTCTACTGAGGCACATAAAGCCAGTTTCCTATTTCTCTACAGTGTTTTCAGTGCAATCGTTGTACTGCGTGGCAGTCCCCGACACAATGAAGAAGGTTCCCTGATTCGACCGACCAATCAGCACCACCGAAAGCTGTCGGCAATACCGTGTAGTAACTGTATGGAAACCAAGTTGCAGAGTAAAGATATTACCGGAAAAAAAAGCGAGCATACACACTGTGTGTAGTATGGTGGTACTATAACTTTAATTATTTTATGTTTTACTAATTGGGGATAGAAGCTCTTCACAAAAACTAATGTACATACAGACAAATGATATGTGTGGTCAAAAGACTCAATTTTCTCCTAATATGCGAAACAACTTAGTAGAATGTAATATAAGTAAAAGATCTGTTTGGTGCCAAGTGTCTAGACTCTGTTTCACATTTCATACAGTATTTTCCACAATAGGAAATGACTACAGTTAATGAATTCAGTTGCATTAGAAGTAGGTATATGGCAGCAGACTAAATTAGGCAGGCTGTTTGACTAGGAATGCCAGCCTAAGCAGAGGAAGCCAAATTTAACAAGCAATAATATACACAAGCCATAACATTGGCAGTTTCTTTACTGTAGGTTATTTGAAAGGTCAGAACATAATTAACTACAGTACCTTAATATCATAAATAATGTACTATATTAACATTCACCTGGTGGACTGATGTACCATGTCATCAGGAATCAATATTTCAAACTATACTCATTCATCTTCAGGAATTCCTCAAGACAAATATATTAGAATATATAATCAATTAAATAATTGTTGTACACCACAAAGTGTGCGAGTGTTGAGAATATCTCAATGTTTTGCATAGATTGTTCTATTCATCTTTAGGAGCTAATGTGGAGAACCATTACTTTAAGATGGATGAAAAATGTAGCCTGATGCTGACTGGTGGAAACTAGGGTAGAGCCTAAAGCTTTATTGGTAAAACAATTATAGAACTGTGGTGACATATCCCTTTTTACTAGTTTTCAGGAACTACTGTATATCAACATTCACAGGCATGCAATATGGAAGTTCTCCATTCATCAAAACAGAAGTATTAAAGCATGCAAACAAGTTGGCGATCAATAGAAATACCCCAGTTGCAGTTGTACTTAGCTTTTTAGATTATTACATACTTTCCTAGCCAATCAAATGTGTTTTACGGATGTGTGGTCCTGAAACCACCACCAGTGTCATAATACAAGCTATCAGGTCCAATGCGGCCTGAGTTTGTTCGGCAAGCCTGCTCATGACTGACACTGCGCATCTTAAACTGCAGTGGCGGACCATTCCTATCATTTCAGACTATTTCTACCCCTCTTGTTATACTCCCACACTTTTGGAGTCTTAGGAGGTCGGCTTTACCCACCAGAACCAGAATACAGTAGCATGTACAGGTCCATGAGGTATACTCATCTTGGGCCCATCTGCAACACCCAATTATGGTTATTCTTTTCTTTAATGCTTTTTCCTATTCTGATTCCTTACACTCTGGATGGACTCTTGATGAATGGAAAAAGTTAGAAAAAGAGATGGAGAAACTATAAAATAAATCCAATAGTAATTGGTGGCATACGGTAGTCAAATGAAGCAAGAAACAGATCTATGGATGCAGCATGTATACTTTATAATAAGGCTTTCACTACCGCAGTGAACTGACAATAGCTGCTGACTTTAAACACAATGTTATGTGTTACAAATGATTTTATGGAGTGCAATTTTAAGTAGTTACTTTTCGCATAACGAACAGTAGTACTGTAATGTGAATTTTTACATTCTATGTATTTTCAAGTGTTTATGTTAATTTTGTACTGTATATTCAGTACCCTGAATATCTTCTACATATAAAATGTAAATTTGACGGCTTACAGTCACATTTAAAATGAGCATGCATGTGAAATGTTTCACATGAAAAGAAAACTGGGTTAATGTAATGACTGAATGGAAGAAAAATTATTCACAACACATTCTATTAATGTTCTACTTTAGAATTACATTTTTCCTAAACTGGTTGGGATCATTTGATCATGAAGTCATATTTTTACGGTAACATGTGTTGTAATTCCACATTCACAATGAAATTAAGGGGCGTTTATTTGATTATATGTATCCATTTTACACAACAAAAAAACCCTCCTTGAAGAATACCCAGGGGTGTTTATTTGAATAAATATGGTATTTAAGTAGCAAATTCTTGATGAATTTAACATTTGTATTGTTAATTATTGAATTGAAAATTAACATTCATCAAACACTAAAAACACACACTATGACTTGCACCTTGAGGCTGGCCTGAGCTATTGGGCCACAAAAGGAAGAAAAATTTAAATGTCAAATGGTTTTAAAGAAACTAATAAGGATACAATAGAAGGGATACTACAAGAATGTGAACCTTGTGGAAAGGAAGTGAATAATTACAAAATGCATTTTAAGTGCATGGAGAGCAGTTCGCTACTTCAGAAAAATATACTTTGTTATTATCAGTCCACTTTTAGGTATTAGCACCGCCCTATAAATAACCTTTGAGTTACTTTTATCCCACTTGGAAATATGTTATCTTTCGACATGGCGTCCAGAAGGAAGAAGCGAGGCAGACCAGGGACAACACATGAAGAAGAACAATCAAACAACAAAAAAGAAAAACAGCAGAGGGTGGTAAAAGGAAGACAGTAGAGGAATAAAATGGAAAACTAGGACAGAAGGCAATGTCACAGTCTTAGGTGCCACATGGGACAAAAGGGATTTCAGTGAGGTGACACACAGGGTAGTTCCATTTTATTCTAAAATTTGGAATTAAAAAGAATGTTTAATGTGAACAATATTAATTTACATTTTAAGACCATGTAAATAGATCTTATGAATGATACATACATTTGTCTGTCTAGGCCACCTCTGCACAATATACTGATGATATTAGCACTTGTCTAACCAACAGAACTAGGACCTTCTTGTACTGGTAACCTCTTCAATCGCTTCATAAAAAGGTTTTCTCGTTGGTATTGATAAGCCTGCATTGGCCACTCTCTGAATTGATCAAAATAAACTGTGGATATAAGAGAGAATTACAGTATAAGATTCAATTATGAAATTATACAAGAAATCTGCATCACTACATTATTCATGTCCCAAGGTAGTCTAACTGAAACGATAACATTTATGCTATAAACAATCAGCAAAGTAACAATTAAACTGTCAAACTACATATCAAATAGTCATTGTCAGCAACATAAAACTTATTCTTTTCTTCATAATACCTTTAATATCAAGTGAACAGAATCCAATCCTCAAAAGTATAAACAAAGGATTACAAGATAAAAAAAAATGGCCAGGTTTTATGACTTTTCTCAATCACATGAGCATTTCATGCAATCTCAACAGCACTGGTATATAATTAAGGAGATTTTAGTATATCTTTTGTTCATGAGTTGAGTGGATGACTAGAAACCACAAGCCCTGCTGGCCTGAGTTGTACTAAAGTTCATTGTTCATGACTCATAAACCATTTACCAGGTTGGAAACTTATTTACTGTTGTAATTCCAACAAAAATGAATGTGCTATATAAATGCACTGGTACTACTATATAGCCATATCCTTAATTATCATTCCTAAAATCATACTCAATATTCTATAGTAATCACCATCATGCTTTATATTAATCTATTTACTTCAGCTATTTAATTAAATTTGAATCTTTCTTAATTACTGTTTGTTTCATTTCTTAATCAAATATTTGTATTAATTAAAAATCATAGTTAATTATTCATGAAATCTCCCACGGTTTATGTTGATTGATTGTCTACGATCTATGAACATTTTGAATACAAACAAGTGTCAATTTTTTTTAGCCTCATTAGACAATAAATATTCAACCACCCCATTGGGTACGTATGCATTCCGCTTGGGAGAAAAACAGAGATGTAAGTAAACGTCCTGACCTAGCAATACAATATTGTTTGTACCAGCTGCAAAAGCATTGATCTATCTTGGCTTGGTAGTGTCATAAGCATACAAAATACAAATGATAATCTGTGGTTTATGCATACTGTATGGGCCTGTCAGCCTTACAGTAAGTTGCATTGTACAATGTGCCTATTGTTATAGATTCTATTCTATTCAAATATATATGATCCAATACATTGAAGCATCTGCAATTATCCAGCCTACTAGACTAGATTTGGGCAATTTCATGGTAGCGGAATCACTATTTTGCTGAACTTTTTAACTTTAACCTAATGTCATATTTACACTCCATTCTAATTCTTGGAATAATTATCATATTTACATAACTATGGAATCCATCTATAATTTCTACCCTAGTTTTTTTTAAAAAACCTATCACAATTTTGATATAATATCAAAAAATATGTATGGTAGCGGAAAGACAAAAAAAATACCCTCTATTTTTACCACTCCACATTTTACTAAAACCCTCTGATTTATGAAAGTGATTTAAAAATTGAATACATCTCAGTTTATCATAATTTAGTGTAGTATTGAATGCAAAACATTGATTTTTAAAAATGTTTATAGTTTTGGAGATATTTATAAAAATATAAGACCATGTCTGGTAGCGGAATCACAGTAGCGGAATGACCATTGATAAAAGTGCATCTGAAATTAATATTTATGAAGAACCTTCTTGACTAATGACAAAACATCTGAGAGGGACCCAAGTAACAATTGATGGAGAAATACTTTCTCACTTTATCTTGGTATTGTTAGCTGATCACAACTATCATTCCTTTGGAGCCATCAGGGAAGAATATTTCTGTACAAGCATAGCAGCATCGCATACCACCAAGGAAAAATTAACTACTGTACAGTATGGGCAATGCTGTAATATCTTACATCTATTACAGCTTGAAGTCCCATAGCCATATTATTACATTACACTTCATTTTTTAATTGTTTATTTAAAATCTAATTTTTATTCATTAATAATAGTAACAGATTAATTTTCAATTACCATATATTTCATATTTGTATAATCCTGAAGGTCCAAAATCATTAGCACATACTAAATGATTCACCTTACAAATTAAATATGGGTCACTAGTCACCACAACTGATACCCATCTAAACCTCACAACACAATCCATAATATTAATAATCAGTATTTATAGTGCTATGTCATCTACATAACAGTGCTTATTATAATGGCCTAGTAATTGGATACATAGACAGCCAATGTACTTCATGCTCCTTTGCTCCCTGGTAGCTTCCCAATCAAGCAGTTAATTCAGCACCGGATCAATTTCATTCCAATTCATTCATATTTTGCCAGGTGCCCATAGTGGAGCAGAGATGTGAATTTTTTTGGTCAAGTCGTGCACTTTTAAAAAGAAGCATGAAACTTTGCCCTAGAGGTTTTTTTTTTGATATGCAGTGATTTCAAAAATCACAGGGACCACAATGTCACACCAACAGTTCCCGCCGAAAACCATAATTTTGGCAGTTTAAAAGCTCAAAGTGGGCACATTACCATGATCTTGGTGTCAGCTATGTTTTTTTTTAGTTCAAAAGATCTGCTACAGTGTCTTTTGCAAGTACATGTGATAACCCTTTTTTCAGCAAATTTCTGAAACCACCACTGTCAGGGATTAAAGTGACCAGCCACAATGCTGCATCCCAAACTTCATACAAAACAATCAGTCATGAGTACAAATCTGAGGTGTGGCTACACTGCACCAGCAAAACAATAGCTATACATTTTCACCCAGGATCATTAAACTTCAAAATCACACACACCCTGATCCTACAGATCAAAATATTATCATGATATTATCTATGCTCTCCCTGCTGTCAAATAATGTATGAATCAATGATGTTGAAGGTAGTCAAATTTTCAGTACAAAATTCCTACATTGCTACAACAGCACAAAAATCTAGACTTCCATTTTCATTATTTACATCCTAGTCAATGGACTTAATGTCTGTATACTCAGCTTGTTGGGATTACAGTACAGTATTCTGTAATTTTGCAGCCGAGTAATCATTGCATTGGCTTCTAACCTATCATGTATGCAATACTCATGAGTTGAGAGAGACAACAGAGATATAAAGTGTCTACCAATAGGGCACTTGATGCAAAAATAAACAGGATTTGAAACCTTGAGCTCAAGGTTAAGAGTCTAAGCTGTAATTCCTGTAGGCCTACATTACAGTGTATCATAAAGAAAATATATTACCATAATTCTCACTTGTAAGACAAGGCTTAAAATAGCAAATTATGATCGAAAAATAGTGGGTGGTCTTATATGTGCAACACATAAACATTTTTTATTTTTAAATAATGTTCATCTTATGTGGATTGTCTGTAACACGCGAATTTATTACTGAAATGAATCTACTGTTATGCATTAACGCAATTAATGCAGGAAAATAAGATTTTGATGAACATTTAGAAGTCCATTAAATGGTACTACTTGCCAGCTAGATGCGGTATCAAGACCTTAAAGCACAGCAAAACCAGGAATACCGACAATGAAACAGGGGAGCCTGTCTTATATGCCCGACACGCAAAAATCATCCAAAAATCTTATCTAACACGGGGGTTGTCTTACAACCATGATTAATAAAGAAATAATCAAGTATAATTATTTGTTTAGTATTAATTTCATTCAATGAAAGTAATAACAATAACATTTAACAACAAATATTCAAAAAGAACACAGATGCCAAAAAAAAAACCTTGTAAAAACTATGAATAATTCACAAAATAAAGCAGACGTTTATGCAATATTATAGTAATATTATTATTCCTGCATTTATACTTACAAGGCAGGAACACCCCCACCATGAAGTCAACACAGTGTTATGTCAACTATTCCACACCTGCACACCTCACAGCATATCAAATATCTTAATGCCAAATGAAACATGAATATAACACTCAGATCCATTCTCAAACTCATCTGCTAGGCCATCGTAAAAATTTTGTTATCGTCCTTGCATGGGATTACATTTTTTTAGTAAGAAGAGTAAACATGAAGAAAAATATGTCTTGAATGTACATACACATGATGACATATCATTTGGCAAATGCGTAGCAAACACTTTATATGCACATTCTCATCGGTAATGCATGTACTCAGTCCTATCTTTTTCTAGTGAGTTAATGATAATTCTTCTGTTATCTTAGCTGAATATGTACTATATAACTAGGAGTGGGGGAGTAGTTCAGTTGTTAAAAACAGGGAGTCTTATACCTCCCTGTTAAGAATTCTTGCCTTCTATTCCCAGTGTTCTTTGTTCAATTCCTGCAGAAACGTTAGAATTACTGTACTATACTGTATTTATTCTTACTGCATGCTCTAATTGACAGTTAGCATGTAGCAAAATGAAGTATTCTCCTTTGGTTTTTTTTCGTTTTTACTTCTTTAATATTTTGTCTGATTATATAATGATGGAAGAAATCGATGTTTGGTGGTTAAGGTGCTTACTGTGTAATTCAGGATTCTGGTTTCATTTCATGTACTATTCCAGTATACTTTATTTATGCCTGTTCTTTAATAGTCAATTAAAACAGTTAAGAACCAAACTACCATATAAAGAAAAACAAAACTGAATCTACAGAAATAACTAACTTAATCTCTGTAAGGCATTCCAGAGTTTGTATAGGTGATGATGCATACAAAAGTATCCAGATCCAGGCAAAGCTTTAACTGGTAATCCATATTTTTCATCATATCTTATGAGAGCTGAAAACATGTCTTTTCTGTGACCCCTCCTGCTTCCTATTCTGACAAGAGTACAAAATATAGTCATTCAAGGTTTTCATCATTTTTAAAAGAATGCATTCAGAGACTTTTTTCTCTGACCTCCTACTTATACGTAGTACAACATTTTAAGATCACCACCATTTTTTTCTAACTCAAATAAGCATACACACACTGTTAACGCCCGCTCTCAGCATATGATTTCTAGGCGGATTACTGTAAGCCTCATTTCCTTAAATCACTAGTGTTTTCAGTGTAATAATTTCAGTCCCCGACGCAATTGCGAAGGTTCCACGAATTGACCGACTAATGAGCATCACTGAA